CCCTAGTTCTCACCTTCACCCTTCCCTCAACTTCTGCTTTCTGATCTCAAATAAAGATTTTCCTACTGTGATTCTCCTCCTGAGAGCATGTTAGCAAAGTTGCTCTCAAAATGTGCTTGAAGGTAACAGTTTTCTGGATTGTTTCACTGACCAGCTTCAGAATGGTAAAGGGCACAGTTTAATAAGCTCTGGTCACATCACTCTTTCACTGTTAATTTAGTGAGGTTTTCACTTTCTTTACCCAGGGGAGAGAGATAATGAGCCCTTGTCAGAAACAGCTTTGGGTAACTAACCTCTAACTAATCCAGTTAGTTCCTTACCTTTGGAGTTTCTTCCACTAGCCAGTCATCCCATGTGTGTTGTGCCACCAAATGTGGTTTCTGTTCTGTTATTTTTTTTTTTAAAGTAGGTGTTTCTCAAGTCACAGCATCATAGCTGCTGTTAGGCGATTACTTTTTGAGAGAAATCACCTACTTTCATACATATTTAAACCATTGTATGAAAGCATGCCCTGTAAGTATTCAAATCTAGGCACATGTAGTGCTGTCCTAACATAATTAAACAAAAATATGAGAAGGTTTTTAAGAGACAATGTTAAATAAGTAGATTTTAGCTACTCTGTCACCACAAAGTAAGCGTGTGTGATGATGGGTATATTAATTTGCTTCACTATTGTAATCACTTTACTGTCTATACGTATCCTATAACATCATGTTGTTGCCTTTAAACAGGTACAATAAAACTTATTTTGCAATAACGGTACCCAAATAAGGATAACCTAAGTATCTATAATACTTAAAATACTTCCAAGTATTCTCATTTCCCCAAACAATAAGTCTTTCTGGAAATGTCTTAAATGATTTCAGAGAAATGCTGCAGAGATCCACAATAATACCTCTGCCATGAAGTAATCATGTGTATCAAAAGTTTCTCTGTGCAGGGACCAGCAGTTAGCGTAATGGCTGTCGCTGGACTCCCACATAGTCGACCGTGGTTCGCGTCCTGGACCGGGTGGCTTAAAACTCACACTGGGCGCGTGTGCATGCATGCCCAAGATCTCAAGAGGAGAATGGAAGAGAAGTGATTGAGGTGTGGCCATCCCCCCGGGGGTGATTTCTCGCTTTCTATCTCTTTGTCTGTCTGGCGAGGCGCACGCGCCCTATAGCAAAAACCTCTCAAAAAAAAAAAAAAAAATTCTCTGTGCAATCATGAAAGGAAAGTTTCTGTTAAAGCTGATGGCAACAGGGTAACCTTGAACTTGTTCACCTGCAAAGCCTATGTTCCAACATTAGCACTCTATCCTTGGAAAATAGACTCATGTTAAATGACAGTTTGATAAGAAAGATTTTTAAAGAAAGAAAAATCCAAGTTTGCTGAAGCTGTAAGGAAATGCAGATTTCACATTATGTTGGTATGAGAATAAACTGGTTCATCTTTCCAAAGGGCATGTGGAGCTGGGCATCAAAAGGCTTAATAATGTTTTTATACTTTGCCAGCAATTTCACTGGTATGGTTAATCCCAAAGAAATCACTAAAGTTGTGCACAAATATAAAAGAAGACTTATTGCAACATTATTTATAATATAAAAAATTAGATGCAATTTACTCTTCTAGTAAGAGTAGTTAAATTATTGTGTTATAGCCAGGTGAGAAAATGCTCTGTAAAAAATAAAAGTAATGTTTTCAAAGTGCATTAACGTTATGAACTTATCACCACTCTAGATTTAAAAAGCTGGTGCCAAAACAATGTGTTTAATACAGTCACAATTGTTTTTTTCCTTTAATTTTTTATTTCAATTTCTTTTATACATTCAATCATGTACTTAGCTTGCAAAGTGAGTATTCCAACATTGTGTACATTTCTTACCAGTCCAGTTGACAATACTTTAAAGTCATCTTCAATAGATAATAACCTATTTCTTTGTCCCATAAATATCTTGTCTCTCTATTTTTCTCCTTAATGTCCTTCCTCAGACTCTACTCCTTCACCCACCCTCTTCCCACACTGTATCTGGTATTCACAACCATTTACTATGTTCTGTAACTATGAGTCATTCAGTTTCGGCCATAGAGTGCAGACACTCAGAATATATTAAGTGGAGACATTCAATGTCTCCTAAATAGCCTAGCTTGCTTCACACAGCAGTAAATCTTCCATATTAATCCACTTTCTGACAAAAGCCAGCGTCTTGTTGTTTTTTATGGCTGAGTAGTATTCCATAGAGTATATGTGCCACACTTTTTCAATTCATTCTTCTGTTTATGGGCATTTGGGTTGGTTCCATGTCTTAGCAATTGTGAATAATGCCACAATAAACATGGATGTGCAAGCACTTTTCCGATTAAGAATTCTTCTGTCCTTTGGGTAAATACCAAGGAGTGAGATTGCTGGATCATATGATAGCTCTATTTATAGATCTTTGAGGAATCTCCAAATTGTTCTCCAGAGTGGCTAGACCAATTTACATTCCCACCAGCAGTGTAGGAGAGTTCCTTTTTCACCACACCCCCACCAGCACTTATCATTTTTTGTTTTTCTAATCTTAGTCATTCTGACTGGGGTTAGGTGGTATTTCATTGTGGCTTTGATCCCTTACAGTGAGGAATGTTGAGCATTTTTTCATATGCCTTTTGTCTATTTGTATGTCTTCCATAGACAGTGACAGTCATAATTGTTTTTTAAAAATGCATCCAAGTAAGGAGATTATGGATACTTTTTTTTAAAGTTTTCTTCATTTGACCCCCTTATTTCCCTTTTCCACAAATACTAGTCTGAACTCTAATATTGGATCATCTGAAAAGTCATAATGCATTTTTGCATAGAAAAACATAGAAAAGGGGGTCAGCAAGTGATGTAGTGGTTAAGGTACTGGACTCCCACGTGGCTGACGGTGAGTGCAAGATCTGGCAGCTGGAAACTTGCACGAATGTTGAAGATCCAGAGAGGAGAATGGAGGAAAAGGAATTTCAGGACAGCCATCCCCTCTAAAGAGTGATTTCTTGCTTTCTCTCTCCCTGTCTCTTTCTGTCTCTCTGGCAAGCTCACACATCCTATAACAAAAATTTCTCAAAAAAGAGAAAAACATAGAAAAATGTCATGACTTTTCTGACGACCTAATATATTGCTTTCTCTTAGAAAAGGTAGAAGCAACCTTGTTCAATAGGATCAGTGTGTGAACCTTATCTGCTTTGGCAAATGCATCTTTTCCATCAAAGTACGATGTAAATACTGGACTGTAATCATTGTAATCTTTAAGTAAGGTCATGATTCCAGATTTCTTCTTGCCTGAATATTTCTCTTTATAGATTTAACTCTAATATTGAATTTTATATTCCTCTTTCAGGTAAATAACTACAGTTTAGAAGAAGTAACACATGAAGAAGCAGTAGCAATATTGAAGAACACATCAGATGTAGTTTATCTAAAAGTTGGCAAACCCACCACCATTTATATGACTGATCCTTATGGTCCACCTGATATTACTCACTGTAAGTACCACACTAGTATCATCTTCAAATAGCATGCCAAGTTTACAAAATTGGAATCCTACAAAACTATTGGCAAAGTCTTCCACTTGCACCCTTCATTTTGTTTAGTGTCTAGAAATATTTCAGAGGGAGACTCACGCCAGGTGCGTGTGCATGCGTGCCCAAGATCTCAAGAGGAGAATGGAGGAGAGGGGATTGCGGCATGGCCATACCCCCCCCGGGGGGGGTGATTTCTCGCTTTCTGTCTCTCTGTCTCTCTCTGTCTGGTGAGTGCACACACCCCATAGTGTGCCACCCCCACAATAAAAACCCCCAAAAAAAAAAAAAAAAAAAAAAAAAGAAAAGAAAAGAAATATTTCAGAGGGAGGAGCCTTCATTTCACTCCATGTTGCCTTACAACTCTGATCTAGTGTTCTGAAAGCGGGACATCCTGGTGAGTTGGCAGATCCACCATTAGGCAGAGGCTAATCTCTGGTGTTGTAGGCAGTGTCATGATAATGGTGTAGGGGCAATTCATTCTTTTTTGTAAGGAGCACGTGCTCTTGCCAAAAAGACAGAGAGACAGAAGGTGAGAAATCACCCCCACACACACAAGGGGGTGGCCAACCCAAAGTCCCCTCCCCTCTATTCTCCTCTTGGGATTTTTGGGCACACATACACATACACCCAGTGTGAGTTTTAAGCCACTGGGTCCAGGACTCGAACCATAGTCAACTACATGAAAGTTCAGTGACATAACCATTATACCATCTGCTGGTCCCAGGGGCAATACATTTTTAATGACTATTTCTCAAGCCTTTAAAGCATAATAGCTCTGACGCCATAATGCTGTCTCTTCCTAGTTCTGATATAGTTAGTACAGAATAGAAAAGAGTCTGGCAAAATTGACCAGAGATACCTCTACACTTCTTCCTGAGGGAGAGACTCTTGCACTTGAAGGGCAAAATCACGACCCTCATCGTAGCTTTTAATTTTACCTGAATTTGTTATATTGTCGAGGACACCAGAGAACATTAACAGTCACTATAGCAGTGGACACAGGTTGGAACTGGATGCTTCTAGGACAGGTAACAATTAACTAATGAAACACTGCTGGGCCTTCACAGAGTCCACTACTACAAAAGCACCATGTTTTTACCTCTTCTTCATAGGGCAACAAGAAATATATCTAAAGTTCCTTCTTTGGGGAGGAGGTTTAGAAGCAATTGTGTTTGCCTTCTGGCACATGCACTCACCAGAGAGAGATAGACTGACATAGGGAGAGAGAAAGTGAGCAATCACCGCCCAGGGGGGTGGCCACATTGCAATCCACTCTCCTCCCAGGAGTGTGGGAGCATGCATGTCTGCCAGCATGATTTTGAAACTACTGGGTCCAAGGCTCGAACTGTGATCAACCATGTGAAAGCCCAAGAATGTAACCGCTATGCCGCCATCTGCCAGTCCCACAATCCTCTTTTTTATGTGAATTAAGGGACAGGTTTGTTAACGTTGTAAGCTTGCTCATTCTGAAATTTTGAAGTTTGTATGTGAGACTGAAAACTCAACGTCTTCAGAACCTACCATTAATTAGTCTTAAGTTGTTTAACCACTCTGAGATGTTTCTCTTGAAGGAAATTTAAGGGTTGGATAATTTTCTTACCTGCCCAATACATTAACTATTGCTTTACTTAATGATAACTCTAAAATGACTTGACCTCCCATACATGTCCTGTTTTCAAGCAGACTGGTCTTACCTTAGGATATGAAAGCATTTTAGTGCTTAGGGTTTCTTAAGTTAGCTTATTTAGTACAATCTGTTTTCAGACTCGGTGAGCCACTTCATGAAAGGCATAAGGCCAAGGTTAAAGAGAGAAAAGAACAAAACTTTCTAGTCAATTTTAAAAGGAGATATTGAGTAACTTTACTATGCACAAGTACCTTGGAAAGTTCTTTGTGGGCTGCAGAGGCGATACAGTCATGGCCTTCAAGGAGCTTAACTGGAAGGAAGGCTAACTGGGATATATAAATAGCAGCAGTATTTGGCAGAATAAGAGGGATGTATCTGCCATGCGAGAAGCAAAAATAAATGTCCTTTGAGTACTCAAAGGAAGGAGATATATCATTTGTCTTTGGCAGATCAGAAAAATCTTTATACAGAGGATGGCATTTGAATTGCATCTTGAACTGCAGATGAGTGGCCCAGTCTGGTGGTGCTGTTCAAAGCTACTAAACTGCAGTGCTGAAAGCCACAGAGCCAAGAATGGGTCTGGATCACAGCTTGGTCAAGCTGCAAAGTGCAGAGCATTCAAGCACATGCCCAGGATCTTGAGGAGCGGAAGAGATAGGGAAAGGGGATCATCACATGATGAGACCCTATGGAGGGTGCTATTCTCTCTCTCTCTCTCTCTCTCTCTCTCTCTCTCTCTCTTCCTTCTCTCTCTCCCTCTCTGTCTTCCTCACCCCCTCCCCATCTTACATGTGTGCCTTTACATGCTTTTTATTGAGAATAAACTTTTAAAACAGTGGGTGAAATTTCAACATCTGATACAGGGCAGGAGACAGAAATTATAAGTAGTTGGTTCAGTGGAACAAAGGGAGCCCAGGCTATGTTTGAGAGCCACAGTGTGTGTGTGAGGGAGATATCACAATAGACCAGTTTTGTAAGAATGGCAAAAAATAATTTATGCTACATTTGATACATAGGACCAATGAATAACAATCCTAAATGAGAACAGCATGATCAGAGCTGGATATCAAAAGGATTTACTTTATCTCAATGCATAAAGTGGATTTGAGGAAAGAAAGAGGAGCAAGAGATCCACATTGGTGTTTTCAGATGCCTAGAAGGGAGATAAATTATGGAATGGAAAAGAAAAGCCAGAATTCTTGGCTTTTCTGGAATAGGAATATTGAGTATTTTGGGAGAAAGTTTTTATACAAGAGCTGCTCTTTAGGAGCCTTTTGCTTTTGATGAGTGGATATTAATTATGAGAAAAGAATGTGAGCTCTGTAATTAGAAAGCTAACATTTTATTTCAATAGAAAATTAATCATCATTCTAAAATGTGTTTGCTGAATCTCTCCTCCAGTTCTTCTCTTTATCTAATTATACTAGCTGGGGTTACAGATATAACTGTTATTACACCTTTTTGATCCAAAGGTCAACATGTGCTTGTATACATTAAATACAAATAAACATCAACTCCTCTCCTCGGTGGACAAGAAAATCCTTGGCATGTAGCAAAGCCTTTCTATTTTTAATATGTCTTCTGAACTATAGCATGACACATTGAATCACCCACATAACAGGTTTCTTTTATTTTTTATTTTTTCCTCCCCTTAGCTTATTCTCCACCAATGGAAAACCATCTACTCTCTGGCAACAATGGCACTTTAGAATACAAAACTTCCCTGCCACCCATCTCTCCAGGAAGGTACTCACCAATTCCAAAGCACATGCTGGTTGAAGATGACTACACCAGGTCAGATATTGCTTGCTGGTTGTTTGGGTTTGCTCTCATGACCAATAAGAAACCACATTTGCCTAACATGTTGGCTGTTAGTTTGGGGACTACCCAAATGCTGTTCATTCTTCTTGCCTTAGGTGGAAATCTACAAATTATTGTGAACATGTGTCATTATCCTCTTTGGGAAGCTAAATCACAAGTTCTTTGTCGAGAAATAGTAATACATTCCTGTCTATCAGTTTCCAATTTGTTAAGACTTCTCATATCTGATTCCATTTGAGATATATAGCTGTAAGGTAGGTGTTCTTACTTGAGAAAATAGTGCTGAAGTTCAAAAAACAAAAAAGGAAGTAGCATACCAAGGTTTCGTACCTGAACTGTGGAAGTTGGTACTGAAATTCTGACAGTTGACTCAAAATTCATTGTTGCTGTGAATGACCACCTACAGTTCAATGGAATTTGGGAGTCAGTCAGCCCTCCCTGTAGCATAGTAACTACAGGTGAAAGGAAGAGTAAAATGAACTCCAAATGGTTTGAATTTAGTATAGCCTGTCACCTGCAAAGGGAAATAGGGCCGGATTCTAGCACAGCGTAAGGAGCCACATTGCAGATCCATAAGTAAAGCCAGATTCAACCAGTGTACCTCTAAAAACATTAGATCAGACAGTTCACAGAAAAAAAACAACTGATTTTACTTAAATGGTCATCAGAAGGATAGAATAAATTGGGAGATTACTAAATAAATGAATGAATGGATAGAAAAATAATAAATGCCCATGCTTTTTTATATTTCATTAGCTTTATTGCAACTAATATGTGCTCATTTCATTTGGAAAAGCAACATAAAGATGTCCCAGAAACAAAAATCTCCCCAAACCCCCTCTAGAGTGACTTATCTTGAGATACCCAGTGTGGCAGTCTGACATGAACCTTTCATACCTTCTCCGTGTTCATACAATCTCATGCAAATGCACACATGGATGTTTGTGGAACTTGACATCATTTTTACTAAGTAAGTTCATATTTTGCACATTGTTCTGTGACTTGATTTTCTCAATAAACAATTTTAGCAAACATGAGACAACAGTTAGACATGTGCACTTTATTTCTTCATGCATCTGTATGTAACAGTGATAGACTGTTTTAATTTTATATCCTGCCTGTCTAATCGAAGACATTTGTCAGCTCTTTAAAAAGGAGAGGAAATGATCTGCAGTTAATTTTCCCCACTGGCACATGTACATGCTTTGGTCTTTCCATTCTTTGGTATTTCTTTTTAAATGATGAAGCATTTTTCGTTCATGTTGTAATATCACATTTGCTAAAGTAGCTTAGTACATCTTTAGCCAAGGAATGGAATGTTTGGATGCTGAAAATGTGCATCTGTGGTGTAAATTAAATATAAACTTCTCCCTTCTCTCTATGTTCTTAATTAAAATGAGGGCTGTGGCAAAGATAATTCTTATAACTCTCCAAAGAATTTGTAAACATGGACACTTTTATCCACAAGGGCAATGATCTATTTGTTCTCATCCAGTCACTAATATTTGATATGATTTTAATTTGCAAATGTCATCTTATTTTATTACATCCCATAGTGAATTATAGTTTATTAAAAACCTCTTCACAATCCAGGCCTTTTGGTAGTAGCTGTTTTACCTACACTATCCATTTAATCTTCCCTAAAACACAAAAAGAAAGGCTTCCACCCCCATTTTAGAGATGTAGAAATTGAAGTTCAAAGAGTCCAAGAAAATTGTCTATGGTTACATAGGTTCTCGTTTTTAGTGGGGGTTTTGTGTTTATTAGTTTGTTAGTTTGTTTTTACATACAGTCTTGCTATGGCATGGTTCTCTTGCCTCAATCTCTTGAGGGGCGGTCTGCGGGCATGTGCTATTGTGCCCAGCATTTAGTGTGAGCCTGGTTTAAACCAGGACTCTCCTGTGATGAGTGCAGGGCCTACCAGAGTGCACCACTATGTCTGGGGCTTATTTCCTTCTTATTTTAAAAATGAAAACCAAAACTGTTACAACCGTGTTTTTCATAGAAATACATAGCAAAGGGCCAGACACTAGTATGATTGTTAAGGCAGTTGAATCTCACATGGCCCACTGCTGGTTTGACTCAGCAACTTGAGAAACATACCTGGTGTGTATGTGTGCCCACAATCCTGAAAGGAGGCAGAGATAGAAGAGAAGGGATTGTGGCATGACCATTCCCCCTGGGTACTTTCTCTTGTCCCTTTTATCTCTCTGTCTGTCTCTCTAGCACACGCGCATGTACATACACACATACACCATAAGCTAAATAAAGTCTCAAGAAAGATTTCTTGTCTCCAGAAATTTTTAAGGACCACTCCAAATTGTGCCTCTAATGTTCACCAGGTTGACGCCTCTGCGGGCATGTGCTATTGTGCCCAGCATTTAGTGTGAGCCTGGTTTAAACCAGGACTCTCCTGTGATGAGTGCAGGGCCTACCAGAGTGCACCACTATGTCTGGGGCTTATTTCCTTCTTATTTTAAAAATGAAAACCAAAACTGTTACAACCGTGTTTTTCATAGAAATACATAGCAAAGGGCCAGACACTAGTATGATTGTTAAGGCAGTTGAATCTCACATGGCCCACTGCTGGTTTGACTCAGCAACTTGAGAAACATACCTGGTGTGTATGTGTGCCCACAATCCTGAAAGGAGGCAGAGATAGAAGAGAAGGGATTGTGGCATGACCATTCCCCCTGGGTACTTTCTCTTGTCCCTTTTATCTCTCTGTCTGTCTCTCTAGCACACGCGCATGTACATACACACATACACCATAAGCTAAATAAAGTCTCAAGAAAGATTTCTTGTCTCCAGAAATTTTTAAGGACCACTCCAAATTGTGCCTCTAATGTTCACCAGGTTGACGCCATTTATTATGCAGACTTGAACCCATCAGTCTCCATCCCACCTCTCCTGTATTCTCCCAGAATTGTAGAACACTAGTTTACTAGACATATCACCTAACATGTATTCACACTTTCTTTTCTCTTACATTAATTAATTTGTTGCTCTTTTCATGAAGTTTTAGCTTCTGCCGTGTGTCAAGCATGGCTATTAGCAACAAAGTCACAGTGAAGAATATACCAGACCAGGTATTGAATTTATAGTAAAATTTATTGACTAAAAGACATGTAGATAAATGAGTTAAGTTTGGATAGCACTAACTTCTATAAAGAAAACAAAACAGGGTTATGTGATAGGTCATCTTTGAGGAAGAGAATGGTGTGAAGTAGGATAGCCAGGTAGTGGCTCTCTGAGGAGACAGCATATGAGCTGTGACCTGAATAACGAAAAGAAAATGGCAGCCCAGCTGCAATGTGGGAGCCTATGCAGAAGGTCAAGGTTTGGTCCTGGAAAGAGATGAACTAATGGGAGCGCTGTAGAAAATTAAGTTGGAAAAGGAGGTTAGAGCCAGGTAATTTACAATTTTGTAGGTAATGACAAAGTATAGGTTTAATTTTAAGTATTCTAAGAATCTCTTAAACAGTACTAATCAGAAAAAGTAAGTGATCTGATTTATGGTTTTTAAAAAAATGCTCTTGCTGCTGTGTAGAGGAGTGGAGGGACCACTGAAGAAATTCAGGTAGAGATTATGGCATCTGAGACTGGAGGGAGGAGTAGGAAGAGTGGAGGAATCTGAGCTACATTTCAGAACAACATGTATTCTACGTAAAGAGAAAACCTGCCTTAGGTGGGCCATTTACTACTGACTGTTTTTATACTTCATCTCACACATGGAGTAATCTTTCAGAAACAGTGCAAGTATTTGCCACCGTTAGTGTTTGATTCTTGTCACTGGCTGGAGTTTTAACTTTGTAGATCAAACCTGGATAGAGACTAGACCATTGTTCCCACTCATGACTGGGGACAGAATATGAAGCTTTCTGTCCAAACATAAAAACACAAAATCTTGTACATAAAAACACAAAATCTTTATCACAAAATTTTGGAAAATATCCTTGTTTGCTCTAATTAAAAATATTTTGGTTACAAATTATTCATATCCAAAATCTTAAAGTGAAACTGACGCACTGGAAAGATTTTCCAGGGGTCAAAGGACCTGGCAAATACCATAGACCCTAAGGTACATGTAAGTACCCAAGTCTGAGAAGCAGTGAGCACATTACACAAACTTGCAGGTTATTAATTCTGTTTACCAGAAACAATGCCTTAGTAATAACTCACAGTTTCTGGGCTCCAAGAGGAACAAGTTCTCAAAGAATCAGACAACATCTTCCTTCAGTAAAGAATGGTAGATGGTCTAGACTCTTTTTAAGTTACAGCTATTGACTTGAAAACATTTTTGGAAGAACTGGAAGTTCCTCCTTTTTCATAGGGAAAAAAATATTTTCCTGTATGCCTTTAATTTAGTATACTGGAAAAGAATGGGAGTACCCTCAGTTGACAACTCTGCTTTAAAATCACAGTAAGTATAGCAGAGCGTTTGGTGCATGAGTCCTGGTGCCACTCTTCTCAGGGTTTTTGTTTCTGTTTCAATATTTACTTTATTTCCTGAGAGAGAGGAAGAGGAAGAGGCATCCCCCATAGGCTTCACTCACCACGATCCTCTTCCCATCCCTGCAAGCAGCCAGGATCACTGGCATATCCAGAGTGCTCAGGTCAGACCCAGAAATATGAACCCAGAGCCCTCCTAGAATACCAACATCAGACAGCAGTGCCCCTACCTCCTGGTCCACTCTGCTCAAGTTTGAATCCCACCTTGACCACTTTCTTGCTGTGTAACCTTGGGTACGTTTGGTAACTGCCCTCTGTCCCAGTTTTCTAAGTAATTAGGTCGTCAGGAAAATCCTGGCATTTTTTAAAAAATGTTTTTCTATGTAAAAGTGCATCATGATTTTCCTGACCACCCAGTAGAAAAAGAGCAGAAAAATACCTTCCTTCCATCTCACAGTGTTATTTACAGTAAACTGAATTAATACATGTGAAGTACTTGGAGAAAAGTAAGCCCTTGGTAA